ATAGAAATGGAGTATGTGAAAGAAAGTAGCCCTCCATCAGTCAATGATTCATTGTGGCTAATAAAACTAAAAAATGTTAGTGTATCTTCCATCTTTCCACTTACCCTTTCCTTTTCAGTAATTCTGTAATTTCTCTAATCCCTTATTTTTTAATCTTTAAAGCAAATTTTTGAATGCCCAGTTTATACTGAATATTTTACTCCAATATAATGGGATAGCAAATGCACTGCATTTTAAAAACAGTTATGATTGTCAATAAACATTTGCTAAATGAAGTTAAATATAAAATGATCTGGGGGATCAAATAAGCGTTACTTGGAGAAACAAGGCAGAAAGACAAATATACATTTTAGTAAAAAAGAAACAGCTGGAATAGCATGTCGAAGTAAATCATTTTTCTCCATCACATAACAGCATACGATGTTTACTTTTTTTTTGGTGTAATCCCAATGCCGTAAAATAAGAATATTTGCCTTTGGTACTTAATATATAACCCATAGCAATCACATACTTAATATTAACAAAAATACTTCAGGCACTTAAGGAAAACAAGTGATAGAATATTACTTGTCATCAATGGATATCTGTATGAACTCACCACTGCTACCATTTCCGCTGCTGTTCCTCTTGAACATCTGATTATAGGAACAGCACCTATTTAACAGATGTTAGCAATGATTTCAGCTCTTAATAATCAAAATGGATATCTGTAAAATACCTAACCATCAAAAATACAAGAGAAGTATAAAATTTCAGGCTAGAAACATAAGAGGATTTCAAGAGTAAAATCAAGGTTTCAGAAATAGACCTTTCCATTCAAAAAGAAAATATTAGGGAGTTAAAAAAAAAAAAAAGACCATTTTTATATGGTGTTGGCTAATCAGTGTGACCAGATTTTTTCAACGAATTAAAACTAAATCAGGATTTGACTCCCTACAGGCATTTTCAAAGAGTTTACTCACAGGAGTCAACTGACTTTGACTTAATGGGAAAGAATGAAAAGAGATTAGTTAATTTAGCAGTTTGGTATTATTATTCTTGATTTTACAAATTAACAATGAAGGATTATAGTCTTTTTTAAAAAATTAATTTAAAAGATAAAAAACATATTCTTCCATTAATGTTTTTCGAAAAGCTCCTAAAACGTGGCCTCAGTTCAATACTGAATCAGCTCATTAGACCTCTTAATTTCTCTTTATTACTCCAAGTTTTATCAAAGGCTGAAATCCTAAAATGATAGAAAAAATCCAATTGCACTGAAAATATCAGAAAACAAACTGAGAACACTGTGATCTTTGTATGCTAAAATTGGTACATTCTAGATTCTATACAAAGTATGTTCACTCAACTGCAAAAGTAAAATTGTAGAATATTAGCAAATTTTATAAAACTGTTTTCTTCCAATGGCAAGTTATACATGCTTGTCATATAAAATTCGAATATTAGAAATGTGTAAAGTTAATCCTTTGATTCCAGCACCCTAAAATAATCTCCATTAAGAATTAGATATGGACGGTTTCAGATTACTTTTTACATGTAGTCTAAATAAATGCATTTATGAAGAGTACAAAAAAGAAAAATAGGATATTATACATACTGCTCTTAAATTTGCCTTTTTCACTTAATTTTTTGTTGATATCCTTCTATGTCAGATTGGTAGTAATTTCGATTTCTCTTTTGAAAAAATCACTTTCTGATACTCTACACAATAAAGGTTGCTCTAACACTTCAGTGGTCTTTTTTTTTTTTTTAAGATTTTATTTATTTATTTGACAGAGAGAGACACAGCGAGAGAGGGAACACAAGCAGGGGGAGTGGGAGAGGGAGAAGGAGGCTTCCCGCCGAGCAGGGAGCCCAATGTGGGGCTCAATCCCAGCACCCTGGGATCATGACCTGAGCCGAAGGCAGACGCTTAACGACTGAGCCACCCAGGCGCCCCTTCAGTGGTCTTTTACACTTCTTCAATCTACCTTTACCTTGAAAATATATCATCAAGGAAAAATAACCTTAATGTCCACAAAAAACCTAGCATTCAGTGAAATTTTGGAGTGTGTGTAGGATGGCAAAACAGGAAGGTTAATTAAAAGACTAAAAGTTGTGTATCGATATGCTCTGTTTAAAACAACAACAACAACAACCTTATTTGAAGGTATTGAAGGTACTTGAAAGCAGGCAGAAAGTGCAGGGGCATGAAACTTTGAAAGAAGAGATGTATTTGAAAAACGAGATACATTTTTAACCAGCTTTTCTCCTGAGGGTACTTTTCAGTTTGCAAGGCACAAAGGAGAAAGAGCTCAAGCAGAAAACAGAAGACTTAATGAGCTAAGGAATCAAAGACTGGCATTCAGGGCTGGAAATTAAAGGAGAAAAATATCTGAAAGGAGGGAGCCCCAAAGCTTACATGTAAATTATCCTCAAACTTCTGTTTATATCCTAAACTATTCATGGTATCTCTCTTTTCCTCAATTTTCTCATTTGTGAAATGAAGAGAAACTTTAATAATTTAGTGTAAGGGTCATTTTAACTAGGGTTTTCAGTGTCTGCAAAATTAAAATTGCAATTAGAAGGTTTCTAAACAGTAATTAGTAATAGTAAAGCATAAAATCACACATTAGACACTGAACACAAGGTAGCTATAAGTAAATTTAGATGTACCAAAGAAATGTTTAAAATTCTGAATATAGTGGATTAATGGTATACGTAAATTTAGTGTTTTCTGGAACCTTGGGAGTGTGCCTTAATAGTTACATTTATCTCCATACTTAAAAGTGTATTTGAAATTTTTCCTAATGGAGTATTAAATATTTTGAAGAAATAACTAGAAAGATTTGAGAACTTACCCAGAGTAACAAAAAAGCAGAAGAGGCTGTCAACAATAGTGTCCATAACAGTTTCCATCTCTGTGTCTGTGATATCTGGCCTGTTAATAGCTAAAATAACAGAGAGAGAAAAAAGTTACCAAACTTCTATGCCTTCATAACATTTGTAATAAATACTCAAACAAGTAAAATTTTTCATGTGTTACACTTTTAAGTGAACAAGTATCCATTAAAAACTATACTAACTCAAAAAAACCCCAGAGCACTTCAGTATCAGTAGGAGTGAGTAGTATCAACACCAGAGTAGTACTAAGAAAAAAATCTGCCACATAAGGTATACAAAATTTTTGTCAGAGCAAATAAAAAAAATCATATTCCATAATTTTATTCACAAACACTAGATGGCCTCAAGAAACTACTGAACTTATTACCCAACTACTGTCAGAAAGGACAATGCAAATCAATTATCACAAGCCCAGTGTCCCATATCATTTTTTTTGTATTACAGTAAGTTACAGGAACTTCTTTTCTGATGTACTACACTGTACTGAAATGGTTTCTAAACTTTAGTGGGTATAAGAATCACTCTAAAAATATGAAAGAAGAGAAAGTTTCACTGGAAGCTATTAAAAATTCAAGATTCTTAGCCATTTCCTCCAACGATTCAATTCAATAGATCTGGATAATTCTAAGAAATCTGCAATTTTGACAAACACCTCAAGTGATTCTTAGGGCTACACTTAAAAAAAAAAACAAACATTGCCATGAAAACTATACTTGACAAAGACCTTGCCTTACTCCTCTTCCATCTCTCACAATACCTAGGCCTAGTATTTGACAAATAGATGCTCAATAAATGTTTGTTAAGACTGACTGGACTAAAATATTATCTACATAATATTTTAAATTTCCCAACACCCTGAATGCGAAAACAAATATAAAATTCAATACAACTTGTGATTATCATGAGAGGAAAGCAGAATCCAGCTGTATATATTAAAGTATTTAAAGAAAGTATGAACCATCCAGAGGACATAAAAATAATAAAGAATTCAACCATGCAATACAGAATCTAGATGAGGAAATATACTGCTACTTGGTGTTGCGGATTCAAATCAGAAGATAGAAATGACCAAAAGATACAATGTGAATTATGTAAATTCAAGGGACACCAATCCAGGGAAATACTCAGCTCATTCCATCAATCTAAGATGCAGGTAAAATCAAATGGAAGTCTCCAGTCCTTAGGTTCTACAACCTGGTCTCACACCTCTAAATAAGAACTGACTTGAAGAGTCAAAACGTTGCCCATCAATAACCTCAACTCACTTACGTTGACAACTTGGTTTGTCTGAGATAGTAGCCTGACTTTGAGAAGATAAAATCTGCTTCCTTTAAAAGGATAAATTTCCAATCCATGAAAAGTAGGTGAAATAAATAAAATCCATGACACTAACATATTATGTTGGGACTAATCTGTTTATCAGTTGAAGCACTTGTGATATTTGAGAGGATTTGGCATATAATTATGTAATGAGTAAGAGCACTGACACTGGAATGAGTGCCTCGGTTTAGTAATCTGGTTCTGCCATTTCTTTACCAAGTTACTCAGTATCTGTGCCTAGGTTACTTCATCTGGAAAATGTAAGTAGTAATACTACCTACTTCACAAAGTTACTCGGAGGAGTAAACGAACTTACATTGTAAAGTGCTTAGAGAACAATCTATTATTATTATAAATATACTATTGAGAATCTGGGCAATTAAGCATACACTTATACTTTAAAATTAATAAACTTATACTTTAAATTTAATAATTTCAGACTTGTGATTCTTTAAGTTGAGAGGTATAAGAAAATTAGTTATATTTATAAGTACCTGAAAGTGTAATGAATTTAGACTCACTCTAAATTTAATTACTTAAAAAAATTATTTAAATATTTGGGCAGATTTTGCTTATTAGATTTATAAATTTGTCTGGTCTTATATTTAAAATACTTAAAAATGAAAACACTGAATTTACAAATGCAATTTAAACTGTTTAAGGGAATTCAGCAAACCAAGTTTGCTGACTAAGCTTGTTAATTGGGGCTGACTAGAATCGAGTCTGTTCAATCTGAGTTAATTGATCAAAGAAAAAGTTAAGGTGCTTGGTTGTTTTTTGCTGTTGTTATTGTTGCTGTTTTTATGGAACACCTCATGAATTTGCATGTCATTCGTGCACTGCGGCCATGCTAATATCTGTATGGTTCTAATTTGAGTCTATGTGCTGCTGAAGTGAGCACAAGGTGCTTTGTTTTTATACAACCATATTTATAAATAACAATTTATAAGTTTCACTTAAAGGCTTAAGGAAAACTAGGTTTTATTTTTTTATTTTTTAAGATTTTTTAATTTATTCATTCAAGACATAGAGATAGAGAGAGAGAATATGAGCAGGGGGAGAAGCAGAGGAAGGGGGAGAAGCAGGCCCCCTGCTGAGCAGGGAGTCCGACGCGGGGCTCGATCCCAGGGCCCTGGGATCATGACCTGAGCTGAAGGCAGACACTTAACCATCTGAGCCACCCAGGTGCCCCGGAAAACTAGGTTTTAAACATGTAACTTAAATACTTAAGTAGCTAGTTAATTAAAACTCAATTAATTGTAAATAGACTTCTGTAAATAACAACTATTGTCAAAAATCTCTGACATGGGCAATTCAGCAAATGCTTACACCCCTTTAGGGATGTTGTTTAATTTCTAAAAGACAGCATGTTATGGAGCTCAAGAAAGTCAAAAACTGATGTTCCCTTCTCTCAGGGAGCTTAATATCTGGTCCAATATTTCCTAATAGGGTACCACTGGCATTTTGGGCAGAACAATTTTCTGTTATGAGTATGGTTTACACACTGCAGAACATCTAGCATCCCTAGTCCCTGCTCACTGAATGCTAGTAGCAGCCCAACTTAACGTGACAATCAAAAATATCCTTACACATTTCCAAATGCCCCCTTAGGGGGCCATACTCTCCACTTAGGAACCAATGAAATTCTAGTCAGCCCCAAACATCTCAATCCTTAAGCAGCAAATTAATGATTATTTGAATGAACTGGCTAATCATATCTACTACAGCCTGTATTTTTCTTTAAAATATCTGAAATCATCAGTGGACATAACGTTTCAGTTAAGCAAGATGAGTAACTTTTAGAGATCTGCTCTAAACACTGTATCTAAAGTCAACAATACTGTATTGTACACTTAAAAAGATTAAGGGACAAATAAAAGTGTTTTGCAAAAAAAAAAAGCAACATAGATAATAAAATGGGGCTTGGGTGGTGTGTGCGTGTGCGTGTGCGTGTCTACTAGTTTTAATCTACATCCAGGAATGGTCAGTTTACCAAAATTTTGAATACAAACTCCAGAGGTGGTTAGACAGCATTTGATCAAATACCAATATTCAATCCACTAGTGCATGAACAGGGTATAAGAATCAAGGGAGTCTAACAACCTGTATTTGCGAAAGGCACCTACACTTCATTCCATAATAGTGCTATAATAACTGTTGACAAATAGCAGTATTAGCCAACCTTTTCTGAGTCCTTATTATGTGCCAGGAACCTTTCTAGGCATTTTACACATACTAATTCATTTAATTTCCACAAAAACTCTGTGAGGTAGATAGTATTATTACCCCCACTTTACAGATGAGGAAACTAAAGCACAGAGAAGCAGAGTAAGTTGATCTTGTCCAAGAGTCAAAGTACTAGAAGATACACTGAATCCTACTACTAAAATACTGTCTTATTTGCCATGAATGAACCATTCACGCAAGCTGCTATGTGGCACCTAAAAGGTAAGAGAATTGGCACTTCACTGAGCTTACAAAACAACTTTATTACATGTTGCTTACAAGTGACAGAATTCAGTCTGAGACTTATTTTCTTGGGTGTGCTTTAAAAACTCTTTTAGAGTTCTACTGCTGTAATCAAAGCTGGCTTTTGATTGTACCAAATATGCTATTTTTGTTTACGGTACATCACTCATTTTGTTAACGACGAATTATAATATTCCTATTTTTACATACCACGATATGAAACAAGCTCCTTATTTTGATTACATAATACAAACATATCATCTTCCAAAGTAATAAAATTGAGATACTGATCAAAAACCTAGAAACAAAAGAAAAGGTTTAGAAATCAATTTTACAACATTTTTTTTTAAGTAGACTCCATGCCCACTGTAGGGCTTGAACTTATGACCCTGGGTCCAAGGGTCACATGCTCTACCTACTGAGCCACCCAGGTACCCCAATTTTACAATACTGAAAGCACACTTAGTTTGATTTAATCAACCAATGGTAAAAATGGAAAAAATTATAATTATATTCAATAACTAGAAATTATACTATTGTATCAGACTGCCTCCCTGAGTAAGAATGAGGAGTTAGTATCAAAAAGGAATGTAAATAAGGAGGGCAGTAATATTTTCAGAAAACAAAATTTAAGAAGATACAAAAATACAGATATAGATATAAAAATTTGTTTAAAGACTGGTGGGGATCGGAATTTATATTAGTTCTGAAGAAAAAAAATCACAATTTCACATTCATTTTAACAACATTTTCCTAAGAAAGTCATAGTAACTATTTTTCCACCTTGAACACTTACAAAGAAGTTATACTAGTTCTTCAGAAGTGCAAATCAGGGGAAAAATTAAGAAAACTCTTTGAAATATTATTTTATTTAAAATTAATGATAAACTTTGAAAAGAAGAACATCAAGACACAGGCCTCAAAAACTAATCAGTAGTAGTTAGTAGACTATCTAAATCTAACCAGTGGGAAAAAATGGGAAGTAAATACATAGTTGTTTAGGCTTTTATTTGTCCTATATAATTTCTTAGAATTTCATGTCTTGTCCAAATTCAAGAAGCACAGGGCACAGTAGGGCTATAACCAAGAATACATTTACAGATTTATTTATAACTAAGCTGAACCTATCTAAAAAGTAACTGTGATGTAGAATGGCCGGCCTGTCCTAAGTTCCTTCTTTCTTATAATACGCAATATAACTTCTTTGGATTCTCTCTTCTAAGTAGATCTGAAGATAGTATGGTGACTATAGTGATTATAAATAAATAATGTCAATATATTTTTAGTATAATTTATAACAACACAACTGTCAAACTATTTCTAAGTCAAGCTCAAAAGATTACAAATCCTAGCCTAAAACAAAGACAGATTTCCGCATTTTATTTTTATCTTTCAAATTCATTGAATTATAGGTACCTTTAGTTTGGTTTATTTTGCCTAGTTCAAACTGTAGATAATTTGCATTATCAGAACTCTTTCTAAAAGTAATGAGTCTAAATATTTCTTAGGTTGATTTGGTCCTCTGTAAATTAGGCACCTAAGTCAATTAACAGGTTTCAGAATATACTAAATTTTACATTAACAAAATGTCATCAGCCAACCAAAATCTCTTACCTTGGCTACTTGTGTTACTGCACTGGCTGCTAATGCTGCATTTGCAATATCTTCCAGTTTACTTCTTGAAATAGCAGAAATAAAATTTAAATAATATGATTCATAAAGTTGATTTCGCAGATCCTAGAAATACAATGAATACTTCATTCTTATGAGCAAGTATAAAGGATGACCACAAATAAAAATCTTTTAGATAACTACAGGAGCAAGATTTTGTCATTATATAAATGACAATAAAAAAAAAATCCCAAGAGAAAAAAGTCATGAAGAAGTACTGGTTATTTGGTTGCCAGATATAATGGACCTATATATTAATAAAGTTATAATATTATCAATAAAATTCTATTTTAATTACAATATCACATAAAACTGCTTGAAACAGTGTATCTGCATTTTTCTTAAAAATATCCAGAAATGGCTCTCATATAGTAAAATGCTTATTATATTTTGCAGATACTATCTTCTACTGCTCTGGTCATGTAGTAATACAACATATTTCCTTTGCTGTTCAGACATAATTCCAATGACCAATTCCATAAGTATTACTTCTCAAACATCCAAAAGTAGTATAATTTAAAGTTATGCAAGTTCTTAAATCAAATTTACTTATGTTTTTAAACTCTAGGCAAATAGGTATCTAAATAACCATACAGGCATACCTTGTATATGTTGCGGGTTCAGTTTCAAACCACCACAATAAAGAAAACATGTAACAGACTGAGTCAAAATTATTTTTTGGTTTCCCAGTGCCTATGAAAATTATGTTCATATGATACTGTAGTCTATTAAGTGTGCAATAGCATTATGTCTAAAAAAAAAAAGAGTATATACCTTACTTAAAAAATATCTATTGCTAAAAAATGCTAACCATCATCCAAGCTTTCAGCAAATTATTACTGATCACAGATCACCGTAACAAATATAATAATAATGAAAAGTTTGAAACAGTGTGATAATTACCAAAATATGACAAAGAAACATGAAGTGAGCAAATGCTGTTGGAAAAATGACACTGATAGACTTGTTTGATGCAGGGTTGCCACAAACCTTCAATTTCTAAAAAGTGCAGTATCTGTGAAGCACAATAGAACAACATATGCTTGTATTTGTTTGAACCTAAGATACTGTCCATTGAAAGAAGCACCATTATGTACCACCAAGAATTAATGCTGCCAATAAAATTCTATAACACACCATCAATTTTAAGATGCATCTGGTATCAGAGATGTTTACGCATGAAAAACAGAGGGTTCGGAGCCTGTATGAGGAAGGCTGCTGAGCAGGGCAGTGGTTAAACAAAGGTTGCGGGACTGATTAAAGGATGAAGGACTGAGAATTAAGGGGAATGAGAAAATAAGTCAGTACGTGGAAGATACTGGGAGTTATGTTTCTCATTGTCATAAAAAGGAGTTACGGATTTGCAAAGGGAAAAAGAAAAAACTAGGATGAATCCTGTATTTCTGAAATGAAACAGTTTTAGATATTACCTATCTGTCTTTTTATCTAGAGAGATAAGGAAGATTTCTAGAGTTAAATATAAAGTGCGCATATATATACATACATATATTTCTTAGTTCTGTCCATTGAGATGTCCTAAGAACTCTAACACCCTCGTAGCAATGCCTACGCCTTATTCCCAGTTGCTGATTTCTAAATACCATTCTCTACAAAAAACAACCAGGGCTCCTTAGACAAATGGCTGAATCTTGGGCTAGAACAGAGAAAGTATGAGATGAGACTGAATAATCTTATTGTGCCTAAAAATAAGGAAGTGGTCCAAGAATGATGGAGACATTGCAAAAGGACACAGAAATTGAA